GACTACCCAACGATTAAAACCCGTTTTCCATTACTCGACTGGGGCTCCATTTCATGCTTCAACTGTTTTATTTACTTCCTGACTTCGAAGTTATAAGCACAATAGTAAGTCTGATAGTGGCACAAAATATCAACTAAGATGCAAAAGAGCCAAACATTACAGTACTCTAAATTAAGTTAAACGCTTCAGGCCCACATTCGAGGATTGGACTCCTACACGAAGCCTCAACGGAGACGAAGTTGAGTATTGGAAAACGGCCGGGCTGAAGGTATACCCGTAAACAGGTCCCGACGAAATTGTCGTTTATGAGTCTAGGCTGAAGTTAGTCTTGGCCCACGACGTCAGTGATCGATAGTTGTTTCATTTCTGTCGAAGAGCGCCCTCGAACAAGGAGTTTTTACTTACTCTCACAAACGTCTTGGGAATCTTGCAGGACAGAGGGATCCCAATACGACGTAAGATGGCGAACTTCACCGTGAACACACGTAAAACGTTGTAATCACATAGGCGCCATTTGTGCAAGCAATACGCGTGCGCCAAGCACATTAATGCATAGGCGCAGGCGCCGCGGCAGGCACGTGTACCTGTTGAGCCTGCGCCAAAGCATTACTGTGAACTGCGCAGGTGTATAGCTTGCTCAAATGACGTTAATGGTAATTACATCTTTTAGGCAGAGTTATCCATCTTGCGCCTTCGGCGCAATACGATCTTTGGTATATACTCCGTGCTAACTCCGTACGAACGTTTGTGTTGTCATGTCTGGAGTGTGTTGACGGGACTGGCGACAGCCATGATTCATGTGACCATACCATGGTGTATTATTGAGGTCATCGAAATTGACTATGCATGTAATTTAGCGAGTGCTGATTGGTTCCCTTGGAAAGCGGAGGGAAAAATAAAGAACAAGTTAAAACCCTGCTGCAAGATTCCCAAGACGTTAGTGCGAGCTGGCGCACAGTCTAATTATGAGTCGTTAGGGGGCGCACTATACGGTGTCCGCTATCAAGCACTAACGTCTTGAAAACAAGACTAGGCTGAAGCATGGAGGAATTCCTTCCTCCATGGCTGAAGGTAGCCCGCGATTTAGCCTTTCGTCAAGGCCTTCGTAGTGGCTGTGTGTGTAACCGCAAAGCGACTGGAGACGCCAATCGCCTGGTCTCCTTTCCAGTCGCTTTGCAGTTACACACGCACAGCCACGAAGGCCTTGAGGAAAGGCTACCCGCGATTAAGCCCGAGATTCAGCCCGCGATTCGTGTTCACACCGATAACAAAAATCCATGCAGTAAAGGGAGCCAGTACTTTCAGAACAGTGTATCAGTTGCCATAGACAACAGTGATAAATATCCCCACTTCAAAAATCAGGGAAAATACTCATAAGTTTCACAGGTGTTCAAAACACATATCAAAATAAAGCTTACTTCCTCATCTGTCATTTTCTTTTCATTTTTCAGTGGCTTAACCCATGAATTTTGTAAATATTTCTCCCCAGAGAAAATCACCCCTATGGCTTCATACGTGTGTTTGCAGTGGTATAGTAAACGAGAGTGCTGGGTAGCCTATATGTATTTGGACACTTAGACCCAAGTTTCTACCCCTCTCTGTCGTCTCCGGGTAAAAACTTAGTTCCAAGTGTTCAAATCCCCATCGCTCTCATTTACTATACAACTCACCTTTTTTTGTCTGAACTTGGACCCAGGCCCAGGCATTATTCATAGTTAAGGACCAAAGAAATAAATAAGTATGTTAACAACTCAAGAAACAAAATGTTGTGCAAGATGCAAAAGAGAAACTACTAAGTGAATTTAAATTACAGATAAAACTGGAGAACATATAGCATATTGCTGTCTGTGTAGAGAAAAACGTTTAAAGGGTCTTAATTGTAAACACGGACTTTATAAATACAAATGGAAGACTTGTCGCCCCGTCTGTCCACACGGAAAGACAAAGCAAAGATGCAACGATTGTCACGAGGCTCTGTTTTGTAAACATCAGAAATATATTTCGCAATATTATTTCTGTGGACCTAAAGTAATTAATGACCCCCAAGCCTCAATCCTCGCGAGTTAAAAAAGTGATATTTTTCTTAAACAAATAAATTTTATAAAGTGATATATAAAAGTTTGATAACCAAGACATATATTGTAGCTGATGACCACGAATTGCTCAATCAAAAATTTAAAGTCCCAAACACAGTATCTAGACCTTTTATTAATCTAAAGAATGTAGTTATAAAACTTATAAATGACAAGAAAATTGTTCTTGTTTTTACAGATATATTATCAACACAAAGGCGAAAAATGTGAACTTTTAATTGTGATGCCAGAAACGACATGTTGTGGCATTCAACCCACCTATACATTTGGAATCCCCGGAAATCCAAACCATCGGACATAACTGGATATCAAAATTACGTGAAACAGGAAAATAATGCCCTGGCCGACATTAATTATGCAGCATTCAAATTTATTGCTTAGCAATAAAAAGACACCATCACTATTCCATACATTTCATTGAATGTCTATAACGCGAGCAAGAATAAAATGACAGAAAAAAGTAGAGAAGAAGGCACATTAAAGCCCATTAATCGTTGAGTAAAGATGGACGCAAACGTATGTATTTCAAATTACTCACAAAAGGTAAGGGTGAAGACCCCCATGATAAAAAATGAAAATGTACGTTGCAACATTAAATCGTTTATTAGAGCCAACGACATCTATTATATATGGAGCACATGGCTTAACGTCTTATGGTACGAGCGTCAGATTTAAAAGACAGCTCGATAAGAATAAATTATCCCATACCCTCCATCCTTGTGATTGGCTGTAATTGCATTTTACATGGATTACATCCGGGACGGCTTTAGTCGGGTTTTTAGCTTATCGGTTTAGTTAATTTAATTTAAAATGGAGCAAGAATTTTCAAAATTATTTTATAGCCCGCAAGACTACTGGTGAGGTGAAAGCACAGTCGATCATTTACACGAAAACACCGGTGCACACAAGGTCAATATTAGAAACTGGTTAAAAAAGCAAGCCATTTGGCAAATTTATTTACCCGCGCCAAACTACGTACCGAGACCAGTGACGTTGCAATCGGAATCAGTCGAACCCAATTACGCGCATCCAATGGATTTATTATACTTGCCTTGGGATCGAGTGAATCGTAAAACTTTTAAATACGCTTTGACCGTAGTAGACGTCGGCTCGTGTTATAAAGAAGCCGAGCCATTGATCAGTAAAACGGCCTATCAAACGTCTGAAGCTGTGAAACAAATTTATAAAAGATCGCTGCTGACTTGGCCTAAATTTATAATGATAGCCTCTGGATCTGAATTTAAAAGCGAGTTTAAAAAGTTCGTGACAAAAGAACGGAGTAGAAATCGAAGTGGGCGAGCCAGGCGTTCATAGGTCACAGGGAATCGTGGAAAGGTTTAACCGTACATTGGCCGAGCGTTTATTTGGTCATCAATACGCGCAAGATATGTTAAACGTAGGCGAACGTAACGTGGAATGGGTGAAACGCTTGCCTAAAGTAATAAAATCGCTAAACGAGGAAAAAACGCGTTTAATTGACAAAGAGTCCGCAGAAGCCGTCAAATTAGACCGAGTGCGCCTCCAAGAGCAAGCAAGCGAGAATTACCTCCAAGCGTGGTCTTTTGGTATTTATATTACCCGGGCGAGCAGGAGGGTGGGACCGTTAGAAGAGCGACAGATCCAGTCTGGTCCGTGGACGTTTATCAAATTGAAAAACGCACCAGCCAATTTAAACGAGTCAATGGCAGGCGGGTAAAAACGGGCCCCACTTTATATTACTTATTAAACGGGCCAAACAGAAGTTTCGTCAAAGAGGAACTTTAAGTAGTACCCGAGGATACCAAATTACCACTATAATGCCCGTGAGCTAAGGTTTTAATGCCATCTGGTAATATATAGCGCTTTGTATCTAGCGTTGACAGGCTTAATTTATTTTGTGTGATGTTTATATGATCTAAATAATTGCTGTTTATTAAAATGCTGCACCCGCTAAAATAGGTAACTTTTATACGCGGCATGTGATAACCGTTTCTCGGTTACGACTTTAGTAACGCCTTTCGCCTTTTTCAAATTTTGATCTTCCGTTAAGATCAAATACATTTTTGGACGTATTTAAACGACTTCCAAAATGACCTTACCCCCAAATTCATCTTTCATTTTGCCAATGACCTTTTTATTTTTTGGACCGTAAAGTTTATGATCGGTTGGGTAATTACTAAAGTCAAATATTTTACGCTTTTTGCGTTTAAGTACTTGTTTAAATTGTCGGTTTGAATTTAAAGTAATAAAGAATCCGTATCCGTGTATAAAAGACACACATTTGAACCAAAATC